TAAATACTATTTATAGTTTATTATGCTATTAGTAACCGTACAGTGTCTATATAGAAGATAAATAAATACTATTTATAGTTTATTATGCTATTAGTAACCGTACAGTGTCTATATAGAAGATAAATAAATACTATTTATAGTTTATTATACTATTAGTAACTGTACAGTGTCTATATAGAAGATAAATAAATACTATTTATAGTTTATTATGCTATTAGTAACCGTACAGTGTCCTTATAGAAGATAAATAAATACTATTTATAGTTTATTATACTATTAGTAACCGTATAGTGTCTTCATAGAAGATAAATAAATACTATTTATAGTTTATTATGCTATTAGTAACTGTACAGTGTCTATATAGAAGATAAATAAATACTATTTATAGTTTATTATACTATTAGTACTGTACAGTATTTTTATAAAAGATAAATAAATACTATTTATAGTTTATTATACTATTAGTAACTGTACAGTGTCTTCATAGAAGATAAATAAATACTATTTATAGTTTATTATACTATTAGTACTGTACAGTGTCTATATAGAAGATAAATAGATACTATTTATAGTTTATTATGCTATTAGTACTGTACAGTATTTTTATAGAAGATAAATAAATACTATTTATAGTTTATTATACTATTAGTAACCGTACAGTGTCTTCATAGAAGATAAATAAATACTATTTATAGTTTATTATACTATTAGTAACTGTACAGTGTCCTTATAGAAGATAGTAACTGTGAATATTATACCAGTTTAGTACTGATCTATTTTAGGTGAATATGTTCAAACTACTGGCGATATCATCCCAGTTGCCGTCAAGGTTCTTAAAGACAACCTGTCAATAGAGGTTCATAGCGATTTTGAAAGAGAAGTGAAAGCAATGGCAACGTTTGACCACGAAAATATTCTGAAACTACTAGGGGTTGTTTTGAAAGGTAAGTTTACGTCTTGGCGCTTGGTCTTGTTTTAATTTACAGACTTAGCATAATGTTAAACGTGACAAAACAAACTAATGTAAAATTGACTTTTCCTCAGATGATATGAGTTAAGTCTATGTCGATATATATATATATACTTTTTGTGCGTATTTGACTATTTTCTAATCAACGAAACTGTAGGAGACCCAAAGTGAAAATATTTCATTCAAAATCAAATTCGCAACCACAATGTGTTTCACACATTTTGCAATCAATAGAGGAAGAGAGAAGTTCTTGCCAATAGGATCTGTCTATACCTTGTTTTGTTGCTTCTAATAGTGAATATATATATATATATATACTTTTTGTGCGTATTTGACTATTTTCTAATCAATGAAACTGTAGGAGACCCAAAGTGAAAATATTTCATTCAAAATCAAATTCGCAACCACAGTGTGTTTCACACATTTTGCAATCAATAGAGGAAGAGAGAAGTTCTTGCCAATAGGATCTGTCTATACCTTGTTTTGTTGCTTCTAATAGTGAATATATATATAGTTACCCTCCCATTAAAGATACTAATACTAATTGTACTATATTTAATGCGACTTTTTCATGGGAGGGGGGATGTATAAGTGATCAAGTGTGGAATATTTGTATACTAGCATGATAATACAGATTAGTCATGAAGAAAGGTTTGTTATGTTTTCTTGAAATTTCGTCCTCCTGTTTTCATGGGATGCGCTATGGCCCATCCTGTGTATTATAGTTATACACATCCTTCTTTATTTATGGGATGCACTATGGCCCATCCTGTGTATTATATTATACACATCCTTCTTTATTTATGGGATGCGCTATGGCCCATCCTGTGTATTATAATTATACACATCCTTCTTTATTTATGGGATGCGCTATGGCCCATCCCGTGTATTATACTTATACACATCCTCCTTTATTTATAGGATGAGCTATGGCCCATCCTGTGTATTATATTAATACACATCCTTCTTTATTTATGGGATGCGCTATAGCTCATCCTATGTATTATACTTATACAGAGAGTATCCACAGTTCTAAAACGTAAAGTGCGTGTTATCCAAATACACTCAAGTTTGATTTCATTTCGCCAGTTTTGGTGTAAACCAAGATTCAGATTCTGCCAACAGAGGGTGCAAAAATGGCGACTGTTCAAGTCTATTGTTCTCGTTCAATTAACCACACTGGATCTAGAAACGAGTCATTGGACCGCATAAATTGGAAAACCTTTTTCTCCCTTTGTCAGAAGCAGTTAGTTTCTTGTTTCTTCGAACAAGACGTGATATCACCCCACTTTGCGCTTTTTGTTGTACAGAACTGTTATCCTGATACCGCTTGTCAATATATTAGACAATGACTGCACAGGTCACGTATGTTGGACGTTGCTGAAGTTGTCTTCCCATTCGTCTACGACACACAGTATTAATAACAAATTATTATCTTTCAGCCCATATCACTGAAGTTGTCTTCCCATTCGTCCACGACACACAGTATTAATAACAAATTATTATCTTTCAGCCCATATCACTGAAGTTGTCTTCCCATTCGTCCACGACACACAGTATTAATAACAAATTATTATCTTTCAGCCCATATCACTGAAGTTGTCTTCCCATTCGTCCACGACACACAGTATTAATAACAAATTATTATCTTTCAGCCCATATCACTGAAGTTGTCTTTCCATTCGTCTACTGTGAGTAATTTTGTTCTCGAAAATGTAATTTAGTTTCAGAGTCGCTAGCACTAACGCCGTCCTAAACGCAACTCGGTGTTTTACATAAGTCTGTTTCATATCTATTTTAGCGCAGAGCTACACTATGGGATATCTGCGATCTGTTCACCGCGGGAAATCGAACCCTGGATTTTAGGGTCGTGTGTATGTAAACTTACCGCTGTACCATCGGGGAACGTTTTATGTAACTCATGTATGTTTGTTTCTTCGGAGAATCTTGACGCTGTACCAGTTGTTAGTCACGTGGAATCCATCGGCTTTTAAAATACTTTTTACTCTAAACTATCTACACACCAAATTGCTTTTGGGTCCATGAATTTCTTGATTACAGAGTCCATAATAACATATAAATTACTTGTATTTTGTATTTATGGCAAAGCTACTAGATCTATCTGCCGACATCCTTAATTTTGAACGACTGACCTTACCATCCAACATCCAAGCTTAAGCGATTGGCTGTCACCTTTATAACGCACCCACAACTTAAAGTGTGGGAGATATTTTATGGTATCGCATGGATTCGAATTCGACTTCTCAGCTACCAAATCCGGAACTGTATCACAGGGCCAACCCGCGCTCTCATACAGTTACACACATACACACACAAATGTTAAAATAGAAATAAAAATACCATCGCTATTGCAATTAACCCCACTAGTTACTGTTGAGGTCCCATGTGTATTTCTACGTAGAAAAAATTAGTCCCACTAGTTACTGTTGAGGTCCCATATGTATTTCCACGTAGAAAAAATTAGTCCCACTAGTTCCTGTTGAGGTCCCATATGTATTTCCACGTAGAAAAAATTAATCCCACTAGTTCCTGTTGAGATCTCATGTGTATTTCCACGTGAAAATTAAACCCACTAGTTCCTGTTGAGGTCCCATATGTATTTCCACGTGAAAATTAATCCCACTAGTTACTGTTGAGGTCCCATATGTATGCATTTCCACGTGAGTTATTTCACTCAATATTTTGAGCTTTTCTTTACACGAGTGTTTTAATAGATTAAAACGTAGAATAACTCAGTGTGATGCAATAAGTGGTTCCCACCGGTAGCGAACGGCATAAAAACAACAACAAAGCAAATCAGTAATTTTAGGGTTAAAATGTGTATAAATACTCGCGCTTTTATGTACACATAATACGTTTAACAGAATATCAAAAATACATAAAACTTGAACGCATGATGGACATTATGAGGGGGTTATTTTCAGTAAAGTAGGGAGCGTGTCATATTTCGTGAAATGTATTGTTGCAGCAAAATGATAATAATAATAAATTGGATTTCTGGCTAGAAGAGACTTATTCAGAACACATACAGACACAGATCTTCCGCTCCATCTTGCTATATTAGAGATGGCCCATTGTATAGCTTTGTATTTAACAATAAACAAACACACAACACCATCTGTCTAAAGAGATAGATATCATATTACACTAAGACTGAAAAACTACTATGAGAGTAACGGAAATGAATACTAACTCAGCCAAGCGGATAGAACTTTTATTTCAAGGGTCTGTAAAAACTTCCGTTAGTTGATTACAAGTGATCTCTCCAGTTTCGACAAGTTGATTCGCTGAAAACCTATGCATATATTTCTTGTAGAAGCTGGTTCTGTTCCTTGCATGGTGTTCGAGTTCATGCAATATGGTGACCTCGGTGAATTATTACGAAACAATGACGTCTACATTAGACAGCCATCAAGCCGGCTCTGTAACAGCTTAACGCAGGTAAGTGATTGTTACAGGATGGTGGAGTTAGACGTTATCTGTGTTATCCAATGTAACAAAGTTTAATTTAAAGTAAGTGAATAGCATTTACAGCACCCTTCAGTACATACCAGCACTTAGCTTCTGAAGCATTTCTCCGGATCTGAGATCTGGAACATGTTTTGGGTTTCTTTTATATGTGATTTGAGCAAAGTCTTTTGATCAACAAACAAATTTGAAATAGAAAGCAACTTCCTTCGTTCTTTCAACCTGAGCTACTTTTGTAGATTAGTCCTCCAAGGCTTTATCATTAAACGAACTGGGCAGTTGTTGCCCATTTCAACTTTGTTCATCGTGTTTTGGGTTGTTGTTGTTCTAATCTAAAGGCGGAAATTATAGTTTTAAATCCGACCCGGTTCAATTGAGAATTAATATTTCACTGAAGCAGTCTGCCACATTTCTTCTCTCCAGCCCCGTTCTAAATATTTATCTTAATAACGTTTAAACTGTTATCTTCGAAGACTCAAAATCCCCATATACCGGTAAACATGTTGTTTTTTGTTTGTTTTTTCTAGAAATTAAGCGTTTGGTTTTTACTTTTTTATAAAGACTCGCGATTTTTCGTTGCAAATTAAAAAAGTCTTGCTAATTAGGAAGATTAAAAAAAAGTGGAATAAGATATGTAAACGCGTCTTAGAGCGTACAGTACGTTTTAGAACATACAGTAAACGCGTCGTTGGAGATATAATAAAACGCAACTTTGAACATACGAGAAATATATAAGAGCACATACAATGAACGCATCTTAGGACAGATAATATAAAATGTCACAAGACTATGAAATACTGGAATACGATAAAATTGTCCTTGGACACTTGTGTAAAATCATAAATAAATAAATACAGTTAAAACAACAATAACAGCAGGTATGCGTAGGTTGTTATTTTTAAAGGTGTTTACTTACTTACTGGAGTACATGTTAATGTTCATATTGTAAATCTTTTAATATGAAACATTTTTGAATCTTAGGTCGACCTTGTGCCAATTGCTACACAGATTGCTAGAGGCATGGCCTATTTATCTTCTCTGCACTTCGTTCATAGAGACTTGGCTACGAGGAACTGTCTGGTAGGGGAAAATCTGATGGTCAAGATTTCCGACTTCGGCATGTCACGTGATATCTACACTTGTGACTACTATAAAGTAAGGATAGAGATTTATTTGACAAGTTGTTTTGTTTTTCCAGAAATTTCCTTCCTGCCAGCCACATTCATGGTGAAGATAAACCAAGAAGAGAAATGAAACTTCTTGATAATAATTTAATATACCGAAAAATAAAACTATGTAGTAGATTGGCTTGCATTGATTTCAAGTTTTCAAACGATGATTAATCAAAGTCTATTTTACTCTCAACATTCTATGCTATGAAGCATTACATAAATTTTAAAAATTAAACATCGAATTTTTACATTGTAAATCCGTAAACTTACCGCTGACCCACCAGGAGACTGAAAAAAAATACAATCTTTGAAATTTTATACAATTCTTCGAATCATATACATTCGGAGTAAAAGACTTGGGTTAACCATGGTTTGAAGCCTAAGCCCATCGTCTGGACTTCTATTACTGAAAATATGTTTTTGATTGAAAACAAACTAAAACAAAACTTTTGATTGGCTGACCTTTTTTTAGCGCCAAGATGTACAACAGGCTTTCTGCGCTTTATCTGTCGTGGCAAGAATATAACTCCGAATTCTAGCGTTATAAACATTCAGGCACACCGTTGAGCCAAAGAGGACGTGAAACAACGCACGTTTGTAGTTATTTTACCTCAATTTATTCACATTTTTGTACCATTCGTAACTTTATACTATTTATTTATGCTTTTTTTTTGTACTTTGGAATAATTAGTTATCGGTCAAAAGTGTCGTTAACTAATGAAATAACGCAATTAAGTAAGAACGTAAGAATTCCAGTAATGTAAAAGGGGTACACGTCGTGTACCTAGTTCTCAGTTTGTATTTTTTTCCCCAATGGTTAAGTTTAGTGCCACTGAATATGTTTATTGACCCTATCGTCACGGGTCAAAGGTCATGTCATCGCGTTTGTTGACTTACATTCAAAATTTTATTGAACTATTATTTTATGAATTTATGTCAATGATTTTGGTATGAAATTGTAGACTATAATTCAAATTTTAGTATTATACATTAGTTAATTTCTTAATTTAAA